CTAATGATATGTCAAATAAGTATAGTATACATTCCATAACCTCCGTAACTTAAAAAAATTAAGCCCAAAGGGGTGTTTAACATCTAATACCCTTAAGTCAACTGACTTGAGAGCTATTGACCTAATGCTTGTTAAATGAGTTAAGGAGAAAAGCTTAAAGGAATCAAGCATTGCACTATCCACGTATCAGTATTTGCAACCCGAATTACTAAGCTCGTAGGGGTGTCTCAACACCTAATATTCTAGGACCAACTGATCTTGAAGTCATTAGCTGAAAGCTTGTTACATGGATTAAAGATGCATTATGTTTTAAATTATATGTATATGTTTTAAGTTATATCACATCCAGTGGTGGTTGGAACAGCTCGCAAAATCCAACCACTTCACCTACTTTATTGCCCCCAACGCTTTCTCGTACCTCTATTGAAACAGAATTGTTTCATGTTCTTTCATCGATTGGTTATTTCTCTCCGTTCGTAAACAAAATAAGAACATAAATAAGATAAAAGTTAACTAAATAAAGGAAAAGAATTGAAAGGTTTTAACAAGATATTAATGAAAATAAAACTTAAGTATTACAAAAATACAAAGAGAGAAAGCAAGAGCATGATCTTGATTTGGAGACCAACATGTCTAAATGCATGGCAAATGCCTTCTTTTATAGGCCACAATTAGAAACTATTGATTTGATGACTAGTTAATGAGTAAGTGATTACTCTTAACTTGATGACAATTCTTATCTTCTCTTATCTACCCAAAACGTCATTGATAACGTCAAAATTGGAGCCACTTGAAAACATGAAAGTTGTAGGAAAAGTTGTAGAAAATTTTCTCAGCTTTCTAAGAAAAAAATGGAGGTCATTTAAACTTCTAGAACTTAAGATATGAGTTAAACACTGAACAATGTTTTGACTATATGATAGATTCAGACTTTTTTGTTGTTGTTATAATTTGAAAGTGAAAATGATCTTTTTAAATCTTGGGCTCTAATGAATGTTGTAGGCCTATATATTTCCTTTCTATCCATATAAAATATACCTAAATCCGAGATCTACAGCTCCAGATATGACCAAATTACCAATACTGTTCCGGTTTGGACTGCATCAACATCTCTTTTTTATTTTTGGTCATCTTTTGTCCTTTCAATTTCAGTTCTTAAACTTATCAATCAATACTTTCATTTATATGATAGACCTGCATTTAAAATGAATGTTTGCTACAAATTAAAAATATCTTATATTATTAGTTATGTTATCATAAAATATGCTTTAGTTAAGGAGTTATTATTGATACTTCAAATACAAAATACTAATATAAAACCTTAATAAAAATATATTTCTAAGTATTAATCAATCTTGATAAAAATATATTTTTAAGTATGAATCAACAACAACTATATTCTTTTATATTCTTTTTATGGTAATTTTTTTTAATCAATCCGGTGGCTGGTAATTCTTACTTGGAGAACATGTCATAGCTAGGGTTGGTCTCTTGAAAAACATAGTTATTCTACTTTGACCCTGTCTGCGATAATGCTAGCAGCCAGAGTACAGATGGAGTACAAAAAAACATCTCGAGTTATGCATCCATACTTTGTTTGCAATGATAAAACATAATAGCATTATAAAAAGAACTTCGAAGCAAAGTGGATGGTAGAAAGAAAAGAATTTACAAACGAATGCCCAAGTCCGAATAAATGTAAGTACACTAACAAGGACAAACACACATCGAAGTCCACATCTGGGACTGATCTGTAGTCACTTGAAACGAATGTATTTGATGATCCTGAAAGGTTCAAAATCACTTGAAACGAATGTATTTGATGATCCTAAAAGGTTCAAAATCTTCTTCTTCTTCTTCTTCTTCTTTTTACACCAGTGAAGAAGGCCTATAAACATCACACTACCCGATTCTGTTGTCGTGGAAAACACAAGGTACCTTGTCAGGAATTTATATCGATGTCAAAAAGATCCTGAACAGAAGTCGAGGAAGAGGCTGTTACTGGCAGGACTGAAGTTGAAACCTCACCGGGGCTTTCATGCTGTTTGCTCCTCGTGTTAGAGTTAGACCTCACATTTGACTCAGTATCGGTTTCCCATAGATCATCATCAGTACACACGTAGGAACTACTGTTAGCGTATCTGTCTAAGATGGTCTGATTGCCTTTCTCACGCAGACTCCTCGTCTGTTCCTGTTGCCCTCGTATGGCCTTGAACCTTAAATCTTCACTAATTGGTTCAGGGATCACTTCAGGTATGATCCTAGTTCCTTCGAGCATGCTAACAACTTCAGACATGATTGGCCTTAGTAATGGTGAAGCATTTGTGCACAAGAGAGCTACCTTAATCATCCTTTGTGCTTCTACTTTGTTGAATTCAGATCCCAGCTTCCGGTCCACTAGCTCAATTAGGTTTCCATTTCGTTCTAAATGGCAAGCCTGAAATGCAGGGAAACCCGCATTAGTTCACATAGTAGCATACATATATATATATGCACATTTAATCTTTGCCCTTAGCAGATTCAAAACTTCATATAAATATTAAATGATAATACTAATTATATCAACCTGTAAAAACATTCCCATTACAGATCTTCTCTTATGGGAATCTGACTGACCTGACTAGAGATATGATTTTCTCTTCAAATCAGAAGTGATGTCTCTAAATGGGTGGAATATTTAAAGGGATTAATAAAAACAAAAACCATAAAGGAGTTCAATAAGTATAAACCTAGAGACATGGAGGTGAAAACTGAGGTGGATCATTTAAAGAAACTTGAAGAAATTGAATAAACAGATGTTAATATTTGTGATTTACCCAGTCTAGAAGACAAGAGTATTGATTCTCTGGCCCACAACTCATGTTATTCTTCCCACTCAGAATCTCCAGTGCCACAATTCCAAAACTGTATACATCTGCTTTATATGTCAAACGACCCCATAATGCATATTCTGGTGCCATATATCCTCTGCACATCAAAATCATACAGGGCCCCTTCTTAGTCAAACAACGTTGGAATATGCGCTAAAACTTCTTTTAGCAAGAAACAGGTTACTTACACAGTTCCAGCAACTCTGGTGCTGATGAAAGTTTTATCTCGTTCATCAAGTTTAGCCAGCCCAAAATCAGATATTTTAGGATTGAGATCCTTATCAAGGAGAACATTGGTGACTTTGATGTCTCTATGAACAATCTTAAGCCTTGATTCTTCATGTAGAAAAGCTAAACCTTTGGCAATTCCGACGCATATCTTCTGCCTTGTTTTCCAGTCCAAATGTAGCTGATGTTTTGGACCTGTGCTTAATCGTCCAAGGAAACAAAGCTTTTGAAAACTAAAACATCATTTAACAGCATGTAATTTTCCAGAATTTTCTTTTATTTTATATGAAAGTATATTCTTACTTACCAAACAATGCTCGGGAAAGGCTGTTGTTTTCCATGTATTCATATACTAACAATAGTTGATCTCCTTCAATACAACAACCATGAAGTTTTACAAGATGAGGGTGCTGCATGCATGAAATCACACCGATCTCATTCAAAAATTCACGATTTCCCTGACTTGACTTAGAAGACAGCTGCTTCACAGCAATCACAGTACCATCAGGTAACAAGCCCTGCATAGCAGTCGTGAAAATACTATCTTCAGTAACCTCCTTGAAGTAAGATATACATTCATGGCTTCATAATGGCAATTAAAGGATAGAAAATACCTAGAGAATACCTTGTAAACTGGTCCAAATCCACCTTCTCCAATTTTGTTTGCAGGATCAAAATTGTCTGTGGCAGCTTTAATTTGCTTCAAAGTAAAAGAAACTGTTTGGATTTCTATTCCTTCAAGACCTATCAAAAACAAAAACCGGTCTAACAACTTCATGAATCTGACCAAAACCTTAAATTTGTTATATAACAATACAAAACTCCACTTTTTTGAGCACAGTGGAATTTGAGAAGTCATATGCTCACACCTACAAGTTGGGTGCTATACTTTATATATTTTGCTTTTCTTATTGATATGCCACATGAGCTTGAACAAGTAATCTCCTGTTTTGCATACTGCGTCCCAGAAACAACTATCCGAGACAAGAATAATCCTGAGATGCTCGAGAGATCATGCTCATAGCAGGTTTCAACACATGGTAAAAGAAATCATATGCGTTACGGGTGATTGAAATTTCTCTTGCACTTTGTTTGCCTTGTGCAGTATACAAAGTCAAAGAGAAGTAAAAAGTATAATTGTAGGTTTTCTAATGGCCCTTATGAATGGTAGGCCATTTTTTTTTTTTTTATAATTGCTAATATAGCATCCCCGGCTAAAGAGCCAATTCCAAGCCCAGTTCAAGTATTGCAGATCATAAGACTTTATAGAACATTTAACTAGATGGTTAGCAAGTAAAGCCTCCCACACTATCTCCTAAAACTTGATAAAGCCTTCAGAAATATATATATATATTAGCACTAATGACTTATGCAACATGGGAGTAATTGACATAGGTTAGATATGGAAATTATACGCAGGATATTGGTGCAGGAAGTCTAAACTAGCTGGACACTGAAACAGTAGCTAAGAATCTTGAAACGAACACAAAAAGGCTGCACCATAAGGGCTGATTTGTAGAAAACTTCCTCTGCCATAAAACAAAGACAGCAGTCCCCATGATGTCATGTTTTAAACCAGCACATAAACAATTAACAACTATCCAATGCAAAGTAAAGATATCCGTCTGAAATAGCCCAAACCTTTTTGTCTTTTTTTATTTATTCCGAAACAGCATCTCCACCAAAAGATAGCTAGTACTGAGAATATTAGACAAAAGCCTACTACAACTCCAACAATTATTGGCTCAGTTTTTGTCTTCTCCCCTCTTGAAAAACGTGGTTTGAAGTCTGCAAAAAAGAACCAAATAAGTAATTGTGCTAAAACAAAACTGAAAAGCTTACAAATTCTAAATTTAGGCTACCCATTGATTAAGATTTCCTGATTTTACGTCAGATATTGGTTAATTATAAAATATTTGTTCAGTAAAAGCTTTATTCCGTTTTGTAAAAACAGATCAGTGTTTGTAACTTTTCATTGGTGTATCTGAAAATGCTTAAATCAGGAGAAACTAATGCTCTTCAAAAATATTCCGTTTCATTTTTCTCCTTTTTTTGCAGCAACTAGAATGACACACTAGAACTAGATCATCAGGCATGCTGAACTAGCATAACTTATCACCCCTAACGTTTATTATCTTTGCGATAACATATTTAACTGACCAGAAAAACAAGCTACTTTATTCATTTCCCTAACTTCTGAGGTTCTTTTACTTCTTCTTTTAACTTCTTGAAGATGTGATCATCACTACTATTTACAACAGTAACCATAGCAGCAGATACCAAAGCAAGAATTTCTTACTAGGATCAACAGAAATAGCTGATATGAGGGGACCGTAGACTCCACTAACAGGAATTCTTCTAGTCCCTTTACCAGCCCAAAATAGGCGGATCTCCAAGATATTATTTGTGACAGTAGCATTGTGTATTTCTGTGACTGGCTTGGCAAACCCAGCAGCCTGAACTTCTATATTGAAATCCTTCTCAACTAGATTATTCTGCAATAAAGTAAAGCAGTAGCACCTCATTCCATTAGTTAGACAAACATTTTATTTGCATTCAGTTGGGCAGAAATAAATGTTTGGCATCTAAGAATGAGACCAAAGGAAAGTAACTTAGTGAAACAACCTAATTTGGAATTATCGAAATTCTATACTGCCAGTACACAAACAGATAACCATAATCTTATTGTCAGTCACAAGCCATCCATTGTACAGTGATCTAAAGAATGCCATTTCTTTTTTAAAATAACCCTTCTAAAATGAATCCTTCCAGAAACATGACAAAATCAACATAGCGGTTTAAATATACGAATAGACACATATTTTCAACTCTCAATTGTCATATTGTGTTGTTCACTTCTATCTCACAATCTATAATTCTATCTCACCTGAATATAGATATCAAATAACCGTCTTCCAAGGCTGTTGAATGTATTATCGTTTGTGAATCTGATCTCAGCAAAGTGTAGACTCACAGTGTAATTCCCATTTTCCAAACAACGACGATAATAAGTAAGTGAAATAGGAGAAATGCGTGCTGTTTGGTACAATTCATTAATATCTAATGATGGCACATTTTCAGTGTAAGCTCTGTTTTGGAAATCGTTGTCATCCATGAAGTCTCCAGTGCTGCTAAGTCCCCATTCATCCGCACTCTGATAGAATAAGCCAGCACCACCGCTAACTGCTGCATCTCCTTCATATGTGCTGCCATTTATTTGAACATTTTGTCCTCCACAATTTATGTACAACGAGTGCCAGTCTGCCAAGAGAAAAAGGACGGCTTAAAAGGAAGCTCTATTAAGACGGCTTAAGTTAAAAGGCTAACCATGTTTTGCAGGTTGAAACATATACAACATTTCACATTAAGAAATCTCCATTCAATAACATCAAAAAATTTCACAACACGATCATACTAATTAAACTAATTCACTGCTCTCGTTGAGAAAACTCTCTTATTTTATCTTTCTGCTACAATGCATCTGGAGAGAACAAGAAGATATGAACTTCCGTAAAACAGTATGATGGGAGGAAAAGAAATTTCAACACGTTTTGATAGGTAAGCTGGATAATGGTTAGCCGGGCATCAATAAGAGAGCAATTTCCTTATGACATTTCGCTTGTCAAAACTTGGAAATCTTGAAGACATGCAAACATACGTGCACTTGTGCAAGCATGTACAGATATGTCTGTTGTCCTCCTACTGAATTCATAGTGAAGATTGGAAAACTCTGCACGGAAGCTAGATCACGTAGGATCATACCTACATTGCGTTAAAACAAAGCAATCGATCCAGGAAACTGCTAAAGCCTAATTCATGAAACGAAAATATGATCACTGTGATTAATTGAAAATAATTCTCTGAATATCATACTTACACTTATCACATTTGAGATCATCCATGCATGCTCCTCCTCTAGTGAAGTGAAGCAAAGAAATTAGTATCATAGAGATTGTATGATAACAAATAAAAAAAAGATTTTCACAGGGACATTTCACACCAATTTAAAGTGACATAGGCAATCTAGTTTATGTTAGGAGCAAGAATTAATGATAAGAAATCAGGAAAAGGAACTTACAAGTCATTTCCCATTGAAGAACTTCGGAACAGGTTTAGAGTTACATCCCTGGTAAAATGAAAATGAAATGATAGTTAAAGCAGCACTGAGGTCTCCCATATGATGGTGGAAAATGAGAAATATACAGAAACAGAGAGTTTTATTCAACACTTTCATGAGCGCAGATCCAAAGATGTAGAGTGAGAGAGAGAGAGAGAGAGAGAGAGAGATTGTACTTACTTTCTCTGCTGACAAGTGGGTTGCCTAGTGCTTTGTTCTGAGAAATTATTATAGGAAAGATCTCTGCATGCAGAGAGAAGCAAACCATCTTCTCAATATCATTACTTTGTACATTGGAATACCATGAATGATTTTACCCCTCTCATCAAAACTTATAAAGCTTGCGGTGCAAGGTAAAATCATCTTTTTAAATGAATTTATTGGACATTACAAGATTGATGAGGAAAAAATTGATATGTTTACCTTTTTTTTAGCATAGTTAAATTACCTTATTTGTCTTAAAAGTAAAAATGTATATGACTTTTAGTCAATGTTTTTTTGTCTTTTTGAAGTTATTTGTGTATTTACTCTAAAATCGAGGAAATAAAAAATAAAATAAAATAAAATAAAAATAAACATGCACATAGAAGCTTTTTCATCTTTTCTTTTTATTTAAATAGTAAAGTTACAGGATTGCCTTTCAAGTGTAGAAAAAAAACACAAAGGTTGCTTTCAAGGGTGTTTTAATCCTTTTCTTTTGTTTCTTTTTTGTTATTTTAGCCTTACTTATGGGTTTCTTTGTAATTTGAAGAGATTAAATAATATATATATATATATTATTGATGCCAACACACTGCTAATGAATAACAGCTCCCGTGCTTTTCAGACAGCCCACACGATTACCAAATCTTGCCATGGGTAACATTAGAAGCAGCGTGTCAGTCTATTTCCAGCGGTATGATATGTGTTTATCACAGAGACATAGTTAACCTCTGACAAACTTTATTTTATGTCAACCCTTCAAAAAAATGATTATGTCCTTCTGTTTATATTTCTATCTATTTTAGTCCGTATTTATTATTATTATTATTTATTTTGCTTTTATAGATTTTTGAATTTTAGATTTTATTCAATTTTATCCCTAGGAATTTAATTTAATTTGATTTGTTTATTCAATTTTTATCCTTAATTTTTTATTTTTTTGTTTTATCATTTTCTTGATTTATTTATTTTTTAATTTCTTCCTAATAATTTTATTGCATTTATTTTTTATCTAATTTTAGTCCTAAAATTCTTTTGATTGCTATTTTTTTATTTTTTTTAAATTTTTTCCTTCAAAGTCTTATTTTATTTTATTTTTTAATTTTTTAATCCAGTTTGAATCCTCATTTTTTTATTACTATTTTTTTCAATCTTTTTCTTAATTAATTTTGTTTTTCAATATAGTCCGTAATTATTTTCTTTTATTTAGTTATTATACCAGATTTAGTCTACATTGTTTAGATTTTAAATTGTTTTGCTATTAGAAATTTTATTTTATTATTTTTTCATGTATATCTTTCTACAAGGTAATCATGGACTCATGAATCAAGTCTAATTTAATTTAATTTAATTTTTTTTTTCTTTTATTAATTTTTTTTTAATTTATCATTTGAGAGTTTGGCTATTAGGCCTTGAATTTTGTTATTTATTCCTTTTTTTATTAAGTTATACCGATTTCTTATCCAAAATAATAAGTTAGTCAAGTTAACTTAGATTTTTTTCTTCAATGTTTTTTTTTATGCCAAAGTTCAGGGGTCAGTAATATCAAGTAAAATGATGAAATTAAAAAAAAAAACTTTTATAAAAAAAATGGTCTAGACAAAAAAAATACTGAAACAATTCGAGTTAACTTGACTAACCATCCAAAAACCATCAAAAGAAAGATCTAGTAAAAAAATTAAAGTTAAATAAAAAAATTGAAAAAAAAACTAACCATCTAATATGAGATTAGAATTAAAAAAATTGAATTTTCAAAATAAAAACCTAACAAAAAGGATCAAAGTTAAATAAAAAAATTAAAAAAAAGCTAATTTGAGTTAATTTAACTAATTCTTATCTAGGATAACCTCACATAAAGAAAAGTAAAAAAATCACGATGCTCAAAAGTTAATAATTTAATATCAAATAATAAAATTATAAATAAATATTTTTTTATGTGCAGTTATGGAAAGTATGTTTTAGTAAAGTTAATCTAGGTTGGTTCAAGTTTTTTTTAATATTTTTTTTGTTGAATTTTGGTTTTTTTTACTAGGTTTTTCTTTTGATAATCTAATTTTTTTTTATCTTGATTTCATATCATAGTTGGTTAATTTATCAAATTAACTTAAGTTTTTTTTAAAAAATTATTTTTTTTAAATTAAATTTTTTCATCATTTAATATTACATTTTAAATTTTAAAATTTTCAATTTTTTTTTTTATAATTTATCTTGATGTCGTTTATTATTTATTTTGCTTTTATAGATTTTTGAATTTTAGATTTTATTCAATTTTATCCCTAGGAATTTAATTTAATTTGATTTGTTTATTCAATTTTTATCCTTAATTTTTTATTTTTTTGTTTTATCATTTTCTTGATTTATTTATTTTTTAATTTCTTCCTAATAATTTTATTGCATTTATTTTTTATCTAATTTTAGTCCTAAAATTCTTTTGATTGCTATTTTTTTATTTTTTTCCTTCAAAGTCTTATTTTATTTATTTTTTTAATTTTTTAATCCGGTTTGGATCCTCATTTTTTTATTACTATTTTTTTCAATCTTTTTCTTAATTAATTTTGTTTTTCAATATAGTCCGTAATTATTTTCTTTTATTTAGTTATTATACCAGATTTAGTCTACATTGTTTAGATTTTAAATTGTTTTGCTATTAGAAATTTTATTTTATTATTTTTTCATGTATATCTTTCTACAAGGTAATCATGGACTCATGAATCAAGTCTAATTTAATTTATTTTTTTTTGTTCTTTTATTATTTATTTTTTAAAATTTATCATTTGAGAGTTTGGCTATTAGGCCTTGAATTTTGTTATTTATTCCTTTTTTTTATTAAGTTATACCAATCTCTTATCCCAAATAATAAGTTAATCAAGTTAACTCATATTTTTTTCCTCTATATTTTTTTTATGCCAAAGCTCAGGGGTCAGTAATATAAAGTAAATCGATGAAATTAAAAAAAATACATTCATAAAAAAATGGTCTAGACAAAAAAATACTGAAACAATTCGAGCTAACTCGACTAACCATCCAAAAACCATCAAAAGAAAGATCTAGTAAAAAAAAATCAAAGTTAAATAAAAAAATTGAAAAAAAAAACTAACCATCCATATGTGATATGAGATTAGAATTAAAAAAAAAATGAATTTTCAAAATAAAAACCTAGCAAAAAGGATCAAAGTTAAATAAAAAACATAAAAAAAGCTAATTCGAGTTAATTTAACTAATTCTTATCTAGGATAATCTCACATAAAGAAAAGTAAAAAAATCACGATGCTCAAAAGTCAATAATTTAATATCAAACAATAAAATTATAAACAAATATTTTTTTTATGTGCAGTTATGGAAAGTATGTGTTAGTAAAGTTAATCTAAGTTGGTTCAAGTTTTTTTAACATTTTTTTTGGTTGAAATTTGGTTTTTTTTACTAGGTTTTTCTTTTGATAATCTAATTTTTTTTTTTATCTTATCTCATATCATAGTTGGTTAATTTGTTAAATTAACTTGAGTTAACTTAAGTTTTTTTTTTAAATTATTTTTTTTCATTATTTAATATTAAATTATTAAATTTTAAGTTTTTCAATTTTTTTTTATAATTTATCTTGATGTCATATTCTAAATCATATTTTAATAAAATTGGCTTGTGCCGCCGCAGCTTCGATATTCAATGGGGTGCTCTAATCTTTGATTTGGTTTCCGCTTAGCTCTAGTAAGATATCATGACAAGTTCAAGGAAACCAAACGCAAACAAGCGCTTTTGTTCCCTTACGAGGATGGGTTTGCATTCGTCCCTCAATCAATAGAAGAAACTTCAAGTATCAAAGTCAAAGAAATGAGATACTTACACTGTCATTCCTTTTCTAAACATTGGTATATTTCCGGTGAGAAGGTTTCCACTTAGAAAGCTGATGGAGACAACAAGGAGTAGTTAGCATCATGGATATTGCAGAGTAGCATACCGCGGCATGCTATAGTCTATAGGTTCCATTACTTACATAAATACGAGTGTCTCTGTGGTTATGGCATTGGGAAGCTTCCCGCGTAACTTGTTGAAACTGAGATCCCTGAACAAGAAACGAAAATTCATAAGAACGCAAGGCCTGGTCCTTCCTTTCTGATATGTCAGATGACAAAAAGTGTTTGCACATATCCATAGCACAAATATTCTTTGGGATACTTTCAGGCTTGACTGCATCTGTATATTTTCCGACGTTTTATTTGGCTGGATGACATGCATAAATTAGTTGGACACATAAATTGAGAGTTGTTTTAAAGTATTTGCTGTCTTGCAGTATAAGAGCCTGCACATGCTGATCAGCATTACCAAACAGATTAAAGTTCCACTCACATGTAAGAATCTGCTTAGTTTTTGACATTTTCATGCATGATATGTAGGAGCTTCGCTTTTCAAGCATGTGTTTATGGTAAAGTCACATTGAGAAACATAATGGAGTACTCATCAAATAAATAGGAATCGTAGGCCATGCTTACAGAATTCGCAGTTTACTCATTTCCCATATGTATAAAGGAATTTCTCCTGATATATTGCAACCCCTCAACAACCTGGAAGTCCAACAGTATGTCAGACGTGCTGGTGATATGGTAGCCTAACTTTATGCATTCGTAAACAGAAAGTGGAAATAAGAAGTGAGCATACAGTCTTGTGAGGCCTGTTATGTTACTAAGATCAGGAAATGACTGATCTGTGCTGGTTATATCGGCGATCCTCCTGCACATAAAATGGCAAGTTCGCTTATAAAATGATAATAAATTAAGTACAGTATTCACCAAGTAAAATAATGCAATAGACATTTGTAGTAGAGTAATCAAGAAATTTCACTCACAAGTCTGTTAATGTTTCCAAAGCAGAGATGGAGGATGGAATGGGTCCTTCCAGTCCGCTAGCTACCATTTCTCTGAATTAGATCAGTTAATCAAACCAACCAATAAAGCAACAAAATAAGACAACTTTCCTCCTCTTCCTCAATTCATAACATTGAAAAGGAAAAAAAAGAACTTTGGATGGATGTAAATCTTACAGTCTTTTAAGTTGCTTCCAGTTTTCTACAAAATCTGGTATACTCCCGTTAAAGTTGTTCTCATTTATCCGACTGCATTGCGGAATGAAGACCACTCACTTTATTTCTATTGATTCTTATGTACAGAGATAGAGGTTTCATTGAGAAATGCTTACAAATCAGCCAGGTTTCTCAGCTTACTGAGTTCCATAGGCAAATTTCCGTCCAGTTTATTGGAGGATAGAATCCTGAAAGAGATATTAACATCAATCACCAAAAATACTACAGCTGCAGGAGAGGTTAACATCATTCTCCAAAAATACTCCAGCTGCAAGATGACAGTCAAAGAAATGGCTTAGGAGCAATCATCCATGAAATTACTTACAAAGTTTCAAGGTTAACTAACTTCCCAAGCTCGTGCGGGATCATTCCAGAAAACTGATTTAACTCAAGGTCCCTGTTAAGAAATTACAATTAGGCTGCTGGTACAATTCATTGTATCAACAAATTCATTTCTCCATAATTGCAGAATGGCATTGGAGAAAGTGGCACATTACAATTCAATTGAGCGTAAGCACAGAAAAAACAGTATATTTTGAAGAGGAAAAAGAAAAGGATGGCAATTTTGCTTAAACCGCTAACTTCATTTCTTTCATGCTGTTTTTGTAGAACTATAAATACCATCTGTAAGAAACTATGATCGAGGCCTAATCTTCCAATTGTAATCTTATCACAGTGTCATGCAAAAGCCCAGTAAAACTGAATATGAACACTTACAAGTATGTTAGACTGGTAAAGTTCCCCAGATAGCTTGGAATATTCCCTGTTAATCTATTTGCAAGAAGAGCACTGCACTAATGTTGCTCAGTTAAACAATTACGTTGCCAGTTTAAAATGAAGATAGATAAGAAGAAGACAATTGCTTACATCGATTTCAGCTGCAATGAAGCCCATTCACTTGGTATAGACCCATTAAGGTAATTGTAAGCAAGATCACTGGCAAGCCAGTAAAACACAAGTTTAAAACTCTCATGGATCATTTCTTGTTTCATAAATGGTTAGGAAACACAGAAAAAAATGCATAAGAAAGGAAACAATTATTCGAATCCCCTGTTGTTCGGTCGAAAGAAAAAGAAACAAGTAATCCTCAGAATTTCCATTCTCTTCGCAAGTAACTCGACTACTATGATGTGAAAACAAAACAGTAAGCAAGCACATAGTTATACATATGCTTACATGCTTTCAAGATAAGGAAGCTGAATGAGTTCAGGTGGAAGTTCTCCTGCAAGACTAAAACGCTTGAACTTCCTGAAATTCAAGGAAAAAAACCCAAAATTACCTTTTCTAGCACAAAAAATGTAAAACAAAATTGGAAGCTTTATTATACATACACCTATAGGCAGAAATAAGCAACAGTACAAACACAAAAGCAATAATTCTACAAGCTACTAGCTACAAAGGAAATAAACTTACACCTATTTTAAGATGAATTAACCATCAACATTCAACCTCTTATGAAACATGTTTTCATATCTAGATTGAATGGATTTTCATTATTCTAAACACGGTCTGATTCCTGTTATGGACTGGGTGAATTCACATCTCTATACAGATAGATAAAGGAGCAATTGAAGTTAAATTTCAACTCAGAGAGAGGACATACAGGGAAACAATATGGCAGGTGTCGTTCTCGGTTCTGCAGTTACAACTAATGTTCCTCTCTGGATCTGTTGGCCGGACTCGAGGAAGATATTCTCCACAAGAATCAGCATTGAAATTCCAGCCGTTGGCCCCCAACTTTTTGGTAATCAGGTTTAAAGCATCCACTAGATTACATACATCAACAAACAACAGTTGCAAGGTCACATTTTGAAACAAAAAGCAGTTCAAGATATTAATCCCTGCATATAGAACTCCAAACTACAGACTAGCTAACCTTTTCATCATCTTATTCTTTCTTTCTTTTATGGTTTTACAACCGAAGTTAGCAATTCTTGCCTGATAACTCTAGTTTTGAATCCGTAAGAGCAAAAGGAACTGGGAATTTCTACCCGAGTAATACTAATAACTATAACCGGCATAAACCTTAATAACTGGAACCAAAATTTTAGATTCAGGTGACAGGAGCTTCTCAAGTAACAAAGATGAGAAAATCTTTCTAGGTATCCATGTTTCATTAAACTGTTAACATCACTTCACGTCTAAGTTATTTCAACATTCAGAAAATGTCGTTGACCTCTACCATAAACTCCCAATAGACACCAGATATAGTAAAGATACAAGTACTTTATTCTTGTCAAATCACGAAGAAACTTTTTAGATCACAACTCCACCTAGTACCAAAGAAAACAACAAATATGGTAGAAAACTCGTACCCTCATCTTGAGGAAGCCCAGCAGCAGCCAATCTTTCTGTCTCCAAGCAACTCAAAGCTAGAAGTGATATGACGAATGCATGCCTGAGGAAAAAGAACATCTCTAATACCCAATGTATGCCTAAAGATTGCTTAGCCTGTTCTCTGTTGAGAGAACTTACCCCCCTCCGTTATGAGATTTACAAAGCTAAGATTGTACCTTCCTAAAATATTTGTTTAATAATTACGTCCATATAGTAAAGAACTATGACCACATTGCAAATACAGTCAAATGGCTTAAAAATGTCACGTGGATCTGAACCTGCCTTTGTCGATTGTTAACACCAACTACTAGCCTGACTATACGAGTTTGTCTTGGACTGTGAAATTCCCTTTTAAGCTCAAATTAGAGCCAATCACATATTTTTTGGAGGGCGAGAATTGAAATGAAAGATAAAGAATTGAAATGAAAGATATGAGTGAAATAGATTGTCTTTGCAATTTGTATATAAAGTTTATTTTATTCTTTTTATCTTTTTAAATTATTAGGTAATCAATCTTTCCTATAATTCTTAAATATTATATTTTAATATCAAACTTTATTTTTATTTTTAATTGTTTTTATGCAAAAGAAAAGAGAGATGAGATCACTGGACTCCAATTTTTTTTTTAAAAAAAAATTGTTGTTAAAAAATATTTTAGCTATGAAAATAATTTTTTTTTTCCAAATGATTCTATATAACAAAAGGAGTTAATATTAGTTTTTTTTTTTTTACATTGAAAACACATTAAAAAAACATATTTAGTTGTAAAAGATTTTAAGTTTTGGATTAATTTTGAGTTTTGTTACAGTTTATTTTTACATTTTTAGAGCCTTAGAATTGATTGAACAAGGTTTCTATGATATCTAGAATGAGTTGAAAATAAATTTTTAAATAAAAAAACTGTGTTTTTCCGATTACATCAATGACTAGATTCTAGATATTTATAAATAACACACTTTATTTTTATTTGTAGGCAATTGGGGCGAACAATTATTAATTAAAAAAATAAAGGCATGCAAGTAGACTTTGAAACAATGATTATTATTTAATTATGTTGAGTTTTTTTCTAAAGGTTAGTATAATTCACTTGTAATGTCTATATATATATATATATATATATAGATTTAGTATGTATTTTTTATACTATTTTTAATGTATATAGCCTTACATAATATATGGATTTTTATTTTATTTAATAAATTTCTATTACAAATTAACTTTAATAAAAAATTATTAAATACAACCAAATTTATGACTTGTATTATAATATTAAATATCTTAATTTACATTTATCTTTTAAGTTTTTTGAATTATATTTTTATTTATTGTTCATGATTGTTTTGTGAAATTTATTTACAAAATGGTTCATGATTAAATCTGATGTGTATATAAGTTTTTTGATTTACATCACTATATCTTAATGTAAAAAAAAAAAGTTGAAAAATTCTAGGCATTCAAATTTTGATCATGCATTAATTATTTCAAATTGATCCTTATTTTAATTTTTTTTTATTTTTTCTTAACTATTTTTATAAAAAAATATTTTAATTGTAATTTTATTCTTCACTCCAATATCATGTTAGTATATTCTTTTTATAAAATTAGGTTACGTAGCTGGTTTGTAGATTTTATTTTTTCAAAGGATGAATCTGCATTGAAATCAAACTAAATTTATTTAATGTTTGTCAAGGTTGACAAGGTAACAAGACAAAACAAGTTACGCAGAAAGTCAACTTTCAGCAATAATTTGCATTACCAGGCTGTATACTAACCCGTTTGTTACTTCAATATCTTGGACTACTTGGAGGAGTATTCACACCTCAACATTATCATCAGTCTATTAGTTGTTTTACAGCTGTGTATTCTTGAATTCAAAATCTTACATATATATTTTAAAAACCTGTTTTTTATTTTGAAAATAATTAAAAATTATTTAATTATTTATTTTAAATTAATTATTTATATATTTTATTTTGTTGATATACCAATATCAGCAATGAAATTTAAAAAATAAAAAATATTTTAAAAAAACATCATTATTAAATTAGCTTACGGCGACAAAAACGGTGCCCTCCAAAAAGAGCACGAATGAGGTAACCTGCTTGACAAAACTTAGCATTGTACAGATTAATCAAACTATATATATATATATATAGTCAACGGTCAAAGAATGGGGAGGGTTATCTGTCATGTCAGTAGCCTAATCCTTTAAGGTGCAAGGAAGAGAAAACAATGCAGGAGCTGTTGGCTGTATGTGAAATGGTGGGAATGGAATTCAACGAAAGCCAGACCCTTTATTAATTAATTTAACTTCCTTGCGGAGGAGACCCTGATGAGGAGGAGGACGCAGAAGGAAATCCAGAGAATGTGTGGACGTGATCAACTTTTGGTAACAAAATCAAGAAATAAACAGGACGAAGTCTTGGCAGCATTAATTAATGAAGAATAGCAGCGTTGTTTGTTCTAGAATCCTGCTACAGTTCGCTTGGAAAGCTGCCCAGTCAAAGGCTCGATCTACAACTTTATAGAGAGAGATGTAAATACGTGTTTTCATGCAAGTGGAAATCTCAGTAGTTGACTTCCTTTAAAAAGGATAAACTCATCCACTAATAAAAGCTAGCACTGATGCCAGAGATCGGTTCATGTGGCATTGAATAGATAAATTCTTGAAAAAAAATAATATAGAATTGAGAATGAGTTACTTTTCACAGAACTTGAAGTATTTTAGATGAAACCCAAACTTAATTATCAAATTCCATACAATATCTCAGAGCTTTCGAGAAAATTACCTCACATGGAGAAGAGCAATGCAAGAACAAGCTTTATTTTGTCGACAGAGTACTCCACAAACCAATTTCGCATTCTTCACGTTACTGGGCCAGCAACAAGTGCAATACCATGCTAATTCAATGGATTTTAACACCACTCTCCTAAGACTTGATGAATTCATGAGAAGACTTCGCATGAAAATCAAGCTTTCCATGTGCTGTGGTACTAGGCCAAGGCATCTGGAACCTGGATATGAGATTGGTGTTTTTGTCCGCCTATACCTGAAAAATAAGTTTCTCGTGCAATGAGAGTCACTTCAATGCTAAAGTCAATGAATATAGAAAAAAATATACAACATGAAAGCTTATGCTCGAGGGGGTTACGTGGCCCTCATAAAAGCATTTCGACAAATAAAAAGATAAATTTAAAAACATATTTTTTTTTATTTTTATTTTTTAATTTTATCATTTTAACACAACAAGCAAAAAAAAAAAACCAAAATAGCTATTCAATTTGAGAAGAGCTATTTTTATTGGTTTCCGTATAATAGCTAAAATGGAATTAACATTGCCAACGTTTATTTTTATAGTTGTTGGTCAACATTATCTATTCAATTTGAGAAGAGCTATTTTTATAGGTTTCGTAGAATAGCTAAAATGGAATTAACATTACCGATGTTTATTTTTATAGTTGTTGGTCAACACTATTTTTTTTTCCTTTAAAAACAAGGAAAAAAACTTGTTTTTTTTTTTTTTAATCTTGTATTGTGCCTCACTCTTCTCTCAAATTTTAAAAAATAAAAATTAATTATTCTCTGATTAATTAATAACATCGGTTGTGTTAATTAGATGAAATTAAAAGATATGTTTATTTAAAAGCTTTTTATATTTTCTCTTTAATATCTCTTGATTTTGTAGATCTTTTGTTGTTAATTTGATATTTGTGATGATTTTTATTTCTTTGTTATTTTATGTTTTTGATATGGGTTAAGGAAAACAATTTTTTATTTATGTTGTTATCTTTGACAAAATTAAGAGAAAGTAATAATGGTAACTGATATTGATAAAAATATAGAGTGACATATTTAAATTTTATTTTTGGTTGTTTGTTTTAATTTGAGGTTAATTATATTTTATCTTGTTGAAAATGCAATTAAACCAGTATATTGTTGAAAATGCAATTAAACTAGTATATCAATCATCTCTTAGTTCCAAAAAATAGTCAAATTATAATGTTAGAACAAATAGGATGCAATGCTTGTTATTAATTCATATGTATGTAAACTATAAAATTACTAGATTTTGAATGTGCGCTTTTTTTACACTCTCTTATAAAGTTTTAACTTGAGGTTTTTTTTAATATAGATGGATTCAAATTTTCCAAACTCTTTTACTAACTTCCTTATGAGTAAATTAGAAGATATTCTCTATTAACCAAGTGATTCTAATAAATTAATTGATGACTTAATATACTCGAATTTAAATATCCATACAATAAAAAAATCATAAAGTAAAAATTTCTCACCAAAGAAAGATTGTTTACTTGTCTCTGCATGGCTAAATACAAGCAAATATCAAATTACAGAGAGTTGAACAACAAACAAAATAGTTTTGGGCTCGAGTACATGCTTACTTTGTAGAGAATGGAGAACATTTGAATAATCGTTCCCAAATAAGCATCTCAAATAGATGGCAAGAAATAAATAGAGAAGTCGGTAAATTTGTTGGATTTGTTACTCAAATTAAAAATCATCAACAAAGTGGAATGACCGAAGAATCAAGGGTAATTTTAATATTCGTTTTCATGTTAAATTGTTTAACATATATTTTAACATTATTTAATTTCTCTAATTTTTTACTTACCAGATTAATGATGCTCGACAAATGTATGCTTCTTGCGTTGGCAAACGATTTCAACTAAAACATTATTGGGTTATCTTAAGAAAAGAACCTAAATAGCAATTTGAGCGTGCAAGCCAACATTAAAGGTCAAATAAGAAATAAAAAAGTCATGTCAATGCAAGTTCGACTTCATCAACTCCATCTACCCCTGATTCTGTTAGTTTAAGAGAAGACAATAAATGGCAATTTGATACTTACCAGATTAATGATGCTCGACAAATGTATGCTTCTTGTGTTGGCAAACAATTTCAACTAAAACATTGTTGGGTTATCTTAAGAAAAAAACCTAAATGAAAATTTAAGCGTGCACATCAATATTAAAGGTCAAACAAGAAATAAAAAAGTCATGTCAATGCAAGTTCAACTTCATCAACTCCATCTACCCCTGATTCTGTTAGTTTAGGAGAAGACAGTAAATGGCAATTTGATACTTGCCAGATTAATGATGCTCGACAAATGTATGCTTCTTGTGTTGGCAAACAATTTCAACTAAAACATTGTTGGGTTATCTTAAGAAAAAAACCTAAATGAAAATTTAAGCGTGCACATCAATATTAAAGGTCAAACAAGAAATAAAAAAGTCATGTCAATGCAAGTTCGACTTCATCAACTCCATCTAC